ATCCTGCAAGCCGCGCAGTGTGGCCATAAATAAATAAATAAATGAATAAATAAATAGTAACTTAAAAAAAATAAAAAGGGCTTTAAAAAGACTACAAAGAGAATAGTTGAGGGAAATGAAGTAACACTTTGGAATAAACGGTTACAGTTTACTAGGTGTTAATGTAAATAAATATATATCTGTGCTATATACATACAAAATTAAATGCACATAATTCTTCTAAGAATATATGATCCAATGAGCATGTGGTGAAATTAGAATTCTCATATTTTGCTGGTAGGAATGGAAAGTGGTGCAGTTTCTTTCGAAAATAGTTCAGCTGTTGCTCTAAATGTTAAACATGGGATATACGATCAAGCAATTCTACTCCTAGGTATATATACCCAAGAAAATGCAGACAATAACTTGGACATGGATGTTCATAGTAGCATTGTCCATAGTAGGCAAAAGTAAAAACAGCCCAAAATGACCATCAATTAATGAATGGATAAATAAAATGTCAATAATAAATGGGAATAAAGTTATTTTACATGCAAAAACATGGATGAACCTTAAAAACATTATGGTAAGTGATGAAGCCCAGCACAAAAGACCACATATTATGTGATTCCATTTATATGATGTCCAAAATTGACAAATCTATAGAGACAGAAAGTAGGCTAAAGGTGGCGCTGATGGATATGGGATTTCTTTGGGGAATGACAAAATATAAAATTATACTGTGGTGATAGTTGCACAACTCTGGATCCATTAAAACTTGCATTTTAAATGGGTTCATTCTAGTTTGTAAATTATATCTTGATATAGCTATTAACATTAATTTATGATCTGGATAACAGGGGGAAAAACCTGAAATAGTTTAAATATATTAACTCCAAACTGATAGAATCAGTGGTGTATATCCAAACAATGGAAAATCAAGAATTGTATTCACTGACAGTGCAGCCTACTAAGCATAATTTTTAGGTGAAAAAATAAAGAGCAGAATATTCTAGTAGTGAAAAGACAAAGCAGACTGGAATATGAGTGTTTATACTATAATTCTCACTTTTGTAAAAAAAAAGTATCTATACATATTATTTGTAAATCAGGTTTTTTGTTGCCTAGGTTATAACACATTTATTTTACTGCTTTTAAAAATCTGTAATGATTTGAAAACTTTTCTTCCCCTTCACTATTAATAGCCACAAGGTCAAAATTTCTTTAGCTCAGTTTCTTTCTTTCTTTGAATACTTCATCATGATTTTAAAGATTCTCCTTCTCTGCTTGTGAGCAGGTCTTCCAGGATTTACACTTGTGAGCAAGTCCATTCCTCCTTCTAAGAAACTGAGGCCAGACAAGTGTCTGCTGACAAGAAGCAAACCCCTCAAGCTGCTGCCCTCCTCAGGGGATTCCGTAGAGCCCCTGGAAGAGAGGGGCAAAGAGTGGAGCGTCCTCTCCTCCACTGAGAGCTCCCCCCACCCCTGCCCCTGAGATTAGCAATCACTGTCACATCAAGGTGTCTTCCTCTAAGGATCAGGCTTGATTATGAATAAAATTAGCATATCTTATTTAATTATTAATTCATACAGAAAAAGACTCTTGAACACTTAATACTTGTTATAACAGTGACTGGTCCATCACTGTACTTTTGTCTGAAGTTATCCAAGAGACAATCAAGCAGATTCTTCAGGCTTATTATTTTGGACTTATAGTAAATCAAGTATTTAGTTAAGAAAGACAAAGAAGTTCAATCTTTACAGTACTGTTTATTTTAAAAACAATTTTGAAAACCCTGAGCCTTGATTTAGTTCTGAGCTCTCATACATTCATGATTTTTAGAATTAAAAAGAACTATAATTTTAGTGCTCCTTTTTCACATTGCTAATTATATTAATATGACTGTCATCAGGTTGTGCTTAATAAACATCCACATGTACTTCATATTTTTAATCTTTTATGTAAAAGTAAGTTAAAATTTAACAACCAGAACAAATATTTTGTTTCTTGTAAAATATATAATAAATTGAATAAATTTTATTTATTTTAATTCTAAATGCTAAAATAGGTAAATTCATGGCATAATTTATAACTAGTGAAAAAATACTGAAAGTCAAGGACTATTAAGAATAATATATCAGATATAAAATTTGATCCTAATAAGATAAAATGTATCTGGTTAATGCAGTTTTCAAATGTTGATTTATGATTCTGACATTTTAATTGATGGATCAATTGATAGTAATTACTTCTGTGTAATCAGTTAGCAACTTAAATGTGCAACACATTGATTTTTTCAGGTGAGACATGTGCTCCCTGAGCAGCTACAGTAGGAGAAAGAACTAGTGACATTTAATTCAGTGTAATTTATTCCTGAGAAAAATGTGATTGACTGCAGTTCATGAAGTCCACAGCAAGAGTTAGAGAAAATGGTGAAATCATTCAGAAACACTAAAACTAAAAATTAAATTAAAACAAGAAATGCTGAGTAATAAATCCCATGTAATTCAAATTAGCATTGCCATTTAACTTGACGGAAGTTACCTTATAGGGACAAACATATTGCGAGTACAAATGGGGAGAACTACACTAATCCAATAGAATGAAATCAGAGAAAGTTGATGATTGTAAAGTTACATCAAAGCCGTTAGGTTTTATATTATCTATAAAACTAAAGAGCTATGTAATGGAGTTATGAATTGACCCAAAGGTAACCAAATTATTTTTACTTGCTCTTTTTCTGGTGAGTGGAGTGATACATTGTATATTTACAAAAATGATTCAAATTCATTTATAAAATATTTATTGGAGAGCTTACTTGAGAACAAGCATTGTTAGGGATATGATGAAGAAAAGAGCAGATTGCAGTCCAGAGCAGAAAGAAGAGAGTCAGGCTTAACAACTATAAAAATTAAAATATGGTTATGTCACCTTAAAAAAATGCACAGCATAAGAGCTGTGAGTTGAGCTTTCAGTGTCTTACTGAGGACTACAGCCTGGGAGGCAGACTCTCAGCAAGCTCTGAGAAACTGTTCAAAGAGGTAAGGGGGGAGCCAAGACATATATGTATTTTTCACTGGGAAAAAAATATGTAGTCAAACATCAGAAGATCACTGCTACTTACAAAGAACAGACACCTCAAATTAATGATTTTAGTGCTTTTCTGTGTATGGGAAGATGCAAGAATCCAGGCTCACTGAAATCTTTTCTTAGATGTGCATCCTAACTACCTAAGGCCAGTATGCAAAACACAGAATGCTTCCTGTTTTCTCCATCCTGAATTCCCTGAAAGGTGCAGTGTCAGTGGGCAACTGCAGTGGCGAATGGCTTGATCCTTGTAGAACTGGAACACGGGCAACGTTTTCTTTTCTTCACAGTTACAAACTATGATAAACAACATAAAGAAGAATTTCAGGTTGTAAAAGGACTGTAAAACAAAAGAAACTGACCTGCACATTAACATTATTTTCGTAAAATGTTTTTATGAATCATCTATTTCACTTTCCTCAGCTTTTTATCCCAGTAAGTTGACATATGAATACAAAGTAGACACAAAAATAACTGTCTCTAATTGTCACTCAGACAATATTTTTGAACTGACTTCTTTTACCAAGATTTTATCTTTATAACAGTGTACAAAATAAAGATTTACTCAGATAGTTAAATTGTTGATTATTTTTATTGCAGCAAGATTTTTTACATTTAAAAGATAACTCTCAATGATTTTGTGAAGTGAAAATTTCAATTTGAAAAAGAATAGATATATGTATATGGATAACTGAATCACTTTGTTGTACAACTGAAGGTAACACATCGTTAATCAACTATAATATAAAATAAAAAGTTAAAAAATATTCAAAAGCACTGGTTCTCAAACAACACAAAACACTCAGGAGTACAGTGAAGACATTAATTCAACAAATACTTAAAAAAGTCTCTACTAAGAATAGGGAATTCTGACAAAATGAGGAATCTGTGTGTGGAAGAAAAATGGAAAAAATAGTGACCAGTGTACATACAACCTAGTAGAAGTATGTACATAAAATAATAATACTACAAGCAGGTGGGAAATATTCTAGCAGTGGTACAGTGACGTCATCGAATTTTAGAAAGGCGAGAAACATCAATTTCACCTTGGTGGGCTAAGAGCAACCAACAAGGCTGTGTTGAGGAAATGATGGAGATCTTGACTTGGCACTTAGATGAAATATACACAGGAATAGAGGAACAACAATGCATAGAAAGTGGTTTGAACAAACTTCAAAAATTAGGAAAGGTCTTTAAGGAATAGTAATCTCATTTGGTTTGAGAGAAGTTAAGGTACTTATTAGGAATCATGATAAAACAGGCTGGAAAGCAGAGAGGAATTCGATTATCAAGAGGCTTTGAATGTAAAAGTAAGGAATTTCAATTTACAGTAATTCAGAGGAAATTGGTTTCTGTTCATTAGTTTTTAGGGAAGAAAAAAATTAAACTGGCAGTAAAATTGGTAAAAAAAATGAGAGTCATTTGTAGCATATCTTTTGGTTAACTCCTAAAATGAATGAAAGTGACTTTGAAAAATACACATTGCTAGCAATCAACCTAGAAATAGTTCAAGTTCAAGCAGTTTTACCACTAAAATGTCACATGGCCTAAATTCTTCATCTTAGGCTCACATGGTTTAGAAGAGCTGAAGTAGAACTATGTTTAGCCCAAATTTGAATTATTTTACGTTAGAGAACTGACTCAGGCTTGTACAGGCCGATGCATTCAGGTTTCTCAGGACTTTGAGGAAATTAATGCGGCTTCTCAGAAGAAACAAGTATCTTGGCTCCACGATTCCCCCACGGTCCCATTTGCAACATTTATAAATCCTACAGTTGTAGAACAAACGTGACAATCCTATGTGCCCTCAGCTGAACCTTGGATGACTATTGGTTTTATCTCCCTCTTATTTTAAACCAAAGTTTCTGTTATTTCTATTTAAGTCCTGGCTCTTTTACTTATACTACTTTTTTCTGATCTGTTTATAAATCTAGATCCCAGGATTCTAGCCCGTCAGCAACGTCCGCGTCTGTCCCTCCTTCTGGGGCCGCGGAAGGGGCCGGTTCCCCGGGGGCCTCACTCGTCCCCCGCGTGGCGCCGGCCACGTGCCAGGGGCGCGTGTGTCACCACGGGGGCACCTGCCGCACCGTCGTCCTCCGGGGGGGCGTCTTCTCCTTCCAGTGCGACTGTCCGCTCCATTTCACCGGCCGGTTCTGTGAACGAGGTAACCAATCTCCACTATCCTCCTGTATTTCCTTTTCAAAACTTCTCCAGAGGGTGGAAAACAATAGAAACCTATCATAAACACATTGATGGCTATTAGCACAAACAAGAAACATCTGCATAATTTTATTTAAAAACGCATTCTGATAGAACATTTTCAGTTCAGTATTGCAGAACCAACTATATATATATATATATTTTTTTTTTTTTTTTTTCATTAGAACTGCCATTCAGAGTACATTTGCAATCGCCACACAACATAGGAGCTAAAATTCAAATGTAGTGCTATTTAGGGAGTTTCTTTAAAGTTATGGTGCATCCATCCTTTGTCACCATAGAAACAATTAAGTTCTAATTCACATTGTTATTGCTTAATTGTTAATCAAATCGTTTCTTTATATTTCAAAAGCAGATCCCCGTATTGAAGTTATTTTGGTGTTTAAGAAGAGCACATTATTTTTCTGATGCTTAAGAGTATGGTTTTAGCATTAATTAAGCTATTGATGAATCAAAAGAAAATTCCCCTTTTGTCAACATCTAATGGCCTCCTAAGAGTGTCTCAGTTAATTAAAGCAGTGCTGGGCAAGACAGCCAGAAATGCCCCGGGCAGATGACCAAAGCATTAGGTCCTGACACAGCTGGGCTGTCTCTGCAGGAAGCCTGGAGAGTGTCTTTCTGTTCTATGTAAAATTGACCACTAGTTCTAAATTGGGGGAGGGGGAGGGATTACTACTGGGTGATGATTCAGATGGCAGAGAATTTCACTGCTTCTCCAAGATTGTGTTAAATAACTCCTTTTTTAAATACCAAAATGTGGGACGTCCAAAAGAGAATTCAAAGGTATACATATGTGTTATTCAGCTCTCCTTCCCAAACAATCTTGTGTGACTGCTATGAATGCATTGCTGTTTAGCCAAAGAAGCAAGGAAGCACAATCAAAAGCACAGAAATGGAAACATGGTCTATTTTCATGTTCATTGTAAAAACGTGTCCTTAAAGTCTATTTTGTAACTGTAAAATGGTTTTGAAGACACATCACTATTGCTTGATTTTTGAGTGAATATTTTATATGTCTGCAAAATACCATGAGACATGCACATTTTGCTGCCATCTGAGACCATTGGTATTACATACCGTGAGCGGACTTCTAGGGACATAATTTGGATGGTAAAGATCTTTTAGATGCACATGTAGAACTGAGAGGTTTTTTCTTTCTTTAATTTCACGGTAGGTAAAGCCTTAGCAAAATACCCTCCTTACCTTTCTTAAAATATACTCTGATATTTTAAGGTTTTTTTCAATCTGAATTTACTGACAGTGATGAATTTGATGTTGTGAAAACAGGGGTCCTCAGTTACGGAGTGTGTCCCTTGTCCCCTGTACGGGCCAAACCACAAGTCTTCCCACTGAGCTTCAGTCCCCTCCTCGGACCCCTCACTCTGTGGCTTTAACACCTCACACAGTGACCCATACTTTCCTCCAGAAAAAGAGAAACCCGGGTTTACCTGGAGTTAAACCCCAGGATTGACTGAGGTTTCTTTGGTGTTTGGGTGGCAGAATGTAGGACACTGACCTCAGGAAAAGAAGTGGGGAACTCTGCTCTATATTCGCTTTTAGGAATATTTCATTTTTTTCCAACATTATTAAGCACTTTCTACCTTCTATATTTTAACTGTTTTTCCTGTTGATTTTGCAGTATTTTTAAAACTAATAAATTGTATGATAACATGGTGCTAAAACCAGATAATCTACCACAGAATATTTATTTCTAAGTGTATAGTCAGAAAGTGTGAACAAATAATCATTACCAATGAGACAATTGTTTTTTTTAAAGAAACTTTAAATCAGTTATATCTGAGGTGTATGATACACTAAACAAAATTCATGCAGTAGGACTCTTTAGATTATTAGATATCATAATATTACCTATGATTTTATTGTTGTTCTTGCCTGTTGGGGAAATATTTCAGTATAAAACTTAGACTGTGATGAGATGTGCATTTTTAGAATTGAGAATATTATTTCTAATTGTAAAAATTATACCTTTTCCCTTGTTCAACTCTTTTTTCTTCTTGAAGTATAGTTCATTTATAGTATTGTGTTGGTTTTAGGTGTACAGCATAGTGATTCCATTTTTTTTGCAGATTATACTCCATTATAGGTTATTATAAGATATTGTGTATAACTTCCTGTGCTATGCTGTAAATCATTGTTCCTTATATACATATTTATTTTTAAACATTTACCACCTAAATTCATGTTAAGTATCTTTCTTCTTTCAGTCATGAAGAAAGCCAAGAACAGGTTTGTGTTCTCAATCTAATGCTCTAAATATAAGTCATACTAGCATGCATCTTAGAACACAGATCACAGATGAGGATTATTGCCTAAGGCCCATGATTCAGGAATCTGGTACCATGACGAGGCTTTTTATATATAGCATTCTCCAGGTTGGCCAGATGCACCATTTCTAAGTGTAGATTTCAATAAAGAGTATTGTATGCCAGCTTTAAAGGATGTAAACTACCTGCTAAAAATCTTGCTTTGGATACACAGTCTCTAAATCTCTTTCTCTCTGTCTCTCTCTCTCTCTCCATATATATATATGAAGTATATTTATTGAAGTATATTTATTTATTGAAGTATAATTGATTTACAATGTCTTAGTTTCAGGTGTACAGCAACGTGATTCAGTTTATATATAGAGAATTTTTAAGATTCCTTTCCCATATAGGTTATTACAAAATATTGAATATAGTTCCCTGTGCTATACAGTCAGTCCTTGTTGTTTATCTGTTTTATAGATAGTAGTGTGTATATGTTATTCTCAAATTCCTAATTTATCCCTCCCCCCCAACCTCTCCCCTTTGGCAACCATAAGTTTGTTTTCTATGTCTTTGAGTCTGTTTCTGTTTTGTAAATAAGTTCATTTGTATCATATATTTTTTTAGATTCCACATATAAGTGATAATATATCATATTTGTCATTCTCTGTCTGACTTACTTCACTTAGTATGATAATCTCTAGGTCCATCCATGTTGCTGCAAATGGCATTCTTTCGTTCTTTTTTACGCTTAGTAATATTCCATCACATATATGTACCACATCTTCTTTATCCATTCCTCTGTTGATGGACATTTATGTTGCTTCCATGTCTTGACTATTGTAAATAGTGCTGCAATGAACATTGGGGTGCATGTGTCTTTTCAAATTATGGTTTTCTCTGGATATATGCCCAGGAGAGCTACCATATGATCCTATAATATATAATTTCTGAGAATTGTTGTCAGTATTAAAATGCTTAGAATTTACAGATAGATTGCTATGTAAATGATTGCTTAAATGAGTCCCTTATTGAGTACATTCAACATCTAAACCATCCGAACTTCTGCTTTAGGAATGAGACTTGCATACTCTCATTGTGAAGAGTTCTGATTGACCAGACACTGTACTGGGTGCTTCATGCATCTTATTTCACTTAACCATCAGAGTAACCCAACTGAAGTCAGCTCTCTAAATGACCCCCATTTACAAATGAGAAATTGAAGGCCTCTAGCTGTTAAATTACTCCCTTTAGGTCGCACAGCTTGCACGTGGTGGAGATGAGATTAGAAGCCATCTCAGCAGACTCCACAATTCACATTTAACCACCATGCTCTATTGCTACACTCGTTAGAAAATCAAATTTAACATGACATGGAATTTCTATATTTTCTCACTCTTTCATGTTTATAAAAATGTATCTTTATGTCAGGGAAAAGAGAGTTTTCTTTAAAAAATCAAATTTCAAAAATCAAATTTCAAAAATCAAATTTCAAAAATCAATTCAAAAAAAAGACGTTAATGTTAATCTAATAATTTTTCATGACCCACTTAAAATTAAGCTGAGAAGCATATTGGGTGATCTGAAAAGAATTGTATCTGAGTGGTAGTATTTTTCCATAATGATTTCAGTAAAACTATAATGTAGAAAGTAGATTAAGAATATTTGAATTTCAGAAAAATCTAGACATAGATGATGAAAGAACATGACTCTCTGAAAAAAATATATAATTGCAGAGTCATCTACCCATAAAGATATTTTCAAAACTGATTTTTCTTCATAGCCTTGCTCCTTTTTCTTTCCAGTGCATACATTCAACCTGTAAGAGAATGTTAAATTATTTTATTTTAACAACCTTGATTTTTCACAGCAAAATGGAGGTGCCAGTCAAGTATGAGTTTTAACTAAAGTAGCATTAGATTCAGCAACACAGAGAAAGGGTTTGCAGGGCTGTAGGACTCAGTACTAGTTCAGCCATACACATATTTCCCGTGTACTTGGCATTACATCCTGGGCTCTACTTTATCAAATCACCTAATCACCTAATAACATTGACTTATAGAATCAGTTTGATTTAATATGTTCCTTTTTTTTCTCAACACATGCTATCTTAATTCATATTAGCTGAACCTCGTTGCCTGCTTTGTCATAATGATCCTGCCTCTCACCAGGGGAGACAGAAGAGCCTGTATTCTTGCTTTGTTTTAGATGGCTGTGTGCAGGCAGATGGCTGTCCCCTACTGTAAAGTTCAGAGTGACAGATTTAGAATATCAGTGCTTTGTGCTGCAGGAAAGCATGTGCCTCTGACTATTAATTGTAGGATTAACATTTTTAAACAGTCCCATACTTTTCAGTGTTCTATAAAACAGTTTTATAAATAGTGTAATAAAGGAGTATTTAAATGCCATACATTAAAACCAAGAAATCATTTATTTGATATCCTGTCTCTGTATGTTCCATATATGCTTAAAGGTCAGCTGCACTGAGTAAATTGCAAACGTAGAAATAAAAATGAGAGGTTTTACTAGGTGTTTCGTCTTGTTTGTTTTTTTTTTTAAAAAAGACGGCCTGAATGTCTGCTTTGTTTTTACCATAATGAGAACAAATTTTAAAGGCATATTAGAGTAGTCTGAATGTATTTGTTAACTATAGTCAGGTAGCTGGATGTCAGATGTT